ATATATATATATATATTTTCAGGCTGTTAACTTAGCAACATCCTAAGACAGTTCTTATGAGAACAGAATCAACTTTTAACAACCTGTTGATTCGTGCAAGTGTATATTTGTCAGTTGAAAATTGAAATGATGGAACAAAATTAGAATCAGAATTTGAAAGTGTCTTTCAGTTCCGACATTAATATGCACTGCCAAGACTATATATGCTTTATTTTATTTTATTTTTTTTCCCTGAAATGCCAAGACTATATATGCTTAATCCTTATCCTCTCATACACGTGGACGTCACTTTCACCGTTTCCTAAATTTGCATTAGCCTTTTTTTTTGGGTGTTTTTTTTCATTGAGGATTTTATTATTATTATTATTATTATTGTTGGCTTTCTTTGTTTGTGTAGGAACTAATTCTCGGAATAAATGTAGAGAGAAAAAAAAAGGGTCTACGCAAATGTGTCAAAATTACATCCAAAGAACTAATGAATAATGATCAATGGGTTGGTCATGTCTAATAAATAATATCTTATGCTTTCCACAAAAGCAGAAAATAGAAAATAAAATAAAATAGGAATATCTTATAGTGTTGGACCCCACCACTAAAACATTAGAATTGAGGAGGCTAATCTAATCTAATATTCATCGCCAACCCAGCCATTCTCTTCTTGAAAAAAAAAAAGGGAAAAAACTTGAATATTTTTTAGGTCTCCATCAAATGCCACTTTTGCTCCATTGTGCCACAACACTTAACAGAAACCACACAAACATTTGCCATAAAATTTGGAACACATATTTCTTTCTCCATATTATGATACGTCCCACACACGCTTTACTGTATATATGTGTGTTTCTAGACACCTTTCCAGCTTTTTATATGTGGCACTTGAATTTGGAATCCAAATTTATATATGGCCTCTTTTTTTTTTAATGTTATTTCTTTTGAGAATTTAGGGTTCACATATATGAGAAGGGAAGGAAAGAAGTATAGATTCCAATAAGCTGTGGTCTTACGAATATAACTTTTATGGGATTATTATAATGTTATATATATATATATATATACTGTACGTGTATATATAAATCTACATATACACACACACCCTTAAAAAATAGAAGGGCGTTTGTTAGCTTGCCATTGTTCTCGATGGATAACGACTCACGACCCAAGCTTCATGTTAAAACTTAAAAACTAGAATGAAATTGTGAAACATTATATGTAATTTCTAATTTGACCTAACGTGTGTTTTGACTAGTCATGTGGCCGTTCAATACTTCGTTATCAAACATGACAATATATATACACAAACATATGCTACTATTTATATATACATAATACTTTCTGCCTGTTTGAAAATTTATCCAGGTAAAAAAAAAAAAAAATAACACCATGCATGCCCCACAATTAGCATCTAAAAGGGATCACAGATATAACTTCTCTTGCTCACATATCATAATAGTTGTTACCTAGTTGTGATATACTATAGGTATATATAAACACCCCATACGTGTATATTGTATGGATGTATGTGTGTATCTTTAAATATGTCATAAGACAAAGTTGAGTTTTGTTACCTATCCATTACTCATGATCTACCTGTCTCATTATCTTAATACATGACTACTTAAAATCAAAGCTGAAAAAAAAAAAAAAAAAAAAAAACTAAATGGTACTAATGCTAAAGGATCACTATAAATATTCTGGCCCGCGGTTAAAAAAAAAAAAAAAAAAAAAAAAGAACTTGCAGTATTGCCGTCTCATGACAAAGTGAAATTCAATCAATCTAAAGTTTTAGACATAGAATATATACAATTTTATAGTATGGTATGAAAATCGGTATGGTTCTGTTTTAGACCGTTACATTTATTTTGCCAGTTTTTATATTTTTCTTTTATATGTGATTTTAACCATTTTCTTAACTCTATTTATTATATTTTTTACTTCTAGTATATCAATTTTTCAGTAAAATATCAGTTATAAAGTAAACATAATAAAAAAAATAAGAAAAAAAAATGAACCATGAAGTTTTAAACAATGTATATTTTTATGTCATTATGTAATTTTAATCAAATCTAATGGGTAAACAATGCACTATGATAGAATATATCATATCATACTTTTTCCCCATTAATTTAACATTTTCCAGCAACATTAGTGTTCTTACATATTTCTATGAATGCTCAATTTAATCAGAAGACATTGTATATAAAGTTAATAATTTAATCATTTTAGACTGTGTAACATTAAGAAGATAGTGATGATAACTCTTTTTAATTCCCCAAATAGATTTGACCAAAGTTTTGGAAGTCATAAAGCTAATACGTTAGCTAAACAGATAGGCATACATATAGGCCTCGTTCATTTCGCGGATTCGAGTTTTCAATTCGAGCTGATATGTGACATTTTGTGAGAACTTTTTACTGTAGCATAAAAAGTTAGATGTGACATTTTCTGAGAGTTTTTTATTATAGAAATTCATAACTGAAAACTCGAATCGATGAAATGAACGAGGTCATAGACTTTACATACAAAAGATATTTTTAATTTATTTGAAGAAATAAAGTTATATACTATCATGAATTAATACTATTCCTCTATTGATTACTTGGTGATGATGGAGTCCTTATCGTGTGTTTAAAGAAGAATATCATGATAAAGAAGAAGGTACAGAAGTGCAAACAAATTAATTAAGCCTAACTATATCTACATAATTCAGTGCAAAAAAAAAAAAAAAATCTATGATCTACATAAAAAAGGAACGGATCAAGGCGTAAAAGGTTATCTGACCCGTTGAAAAAAAAAAAAAAAAAAAAAAAAAAAAAAAAAAAAAAAAAAAAAGACAGAAACAGATCAGAAAAAAACGTGAAGATATCAATGGAAAATGTATGTGTGTGTGTATAAACATATATATATATACACACACTAATATATACATATATATGTATTATAGATATTGGAGCAGAATGTAAATACAATTTAGCAGCTATAATTAGCAGTGCCATGGGTTTGGTCCGTTTGGACATATATGATCCGTAATGTCTCTGATTAATTAAATTATCTATTTAGCATATGTAACTATCCAATTAGATGATTCAATGTTTTTTAATTATTAATTAAAGAAAACATTATAGTCAGAAGGCTGCCACTAATATTAAAAAACTAGCTCTTTGGGCCTGAGATGGAGATTGGAAATTTGGAAGGAGTCGCACAAACCGCCTAAAACCAATTGATCGGATAATTATTTTAATAATAATTGTAATTAGTATAAGAGGTTACATCACTATAATTTTTTTAAATTTCTATCAATTTTTTTTTAAATCAATAAAATAAAGCATAGAGACCAATGGAAAAATATCCTAGCCTAAGAAAGGACAGCTGTACACTCTCTCCACCACAAAATAGGTTCACCACCACAACACAATACCCTATATATATAATATAATAAAAAAAATTGTAATAATTTTATATTGCCTTTGAAGTGAAGAGATAGGATAGGCCAAACCAATCTAATGCTTGTCCTTGATTCTTTTAAAAATCTTTTTCCTCCTAAATTCGCAGTCATTGTTTACATCACCCCCACAAGAACACCACCCATTTGCCAATTCAGTCGTATCACGCATCCATTAAATTTTTCTTTTTAGAACAAAAAAATTTGTAATATATATGGACAATAAAAATTACTTAAAACAAGATATAATTATGAACCGTGAGATTACATTATAATTATATAGAGAAATATTATAATTAATCAAATTTAATAAAAGTCGTTTTAAAACTATGTTTTATTAGTAAAAAAGATATAAAATTATTACATTTAAAGAGTAATTTTGACGAATACTCTTTAAAAGTGCATAAGTCAATATTTTTATTTTTTATTATTGATTCATAATATTCTTAATTAAATAAATACACTAATAAAATAATATTTATCAAAAATAAAAATAAAAATTTAGACTCCTATACTCTCAAATTTTTTAAAAAAATTAATTCTTGTTACTTCCGTAGGCCCATTTAGTGATGCTGTATTTGACATCATCTTCCGAAACCTAAGGTGGCGCACTCGTGCTAAGACTTTGATTTTCTTCTTCATTTTTTATTTATTTATTGAATATTTAAAAAAAATGGAAGAAGAATATCCTCAGTTTACTATTGGTCCGGCCCTTTAGAGTTCAACGCATTTGTTGTTTGTTTCCTGGGAATCTCCGGGACCACCCACTCTCTCTCTTCCCTACTCTCTAACCCTCTCCTTTCTGTTCTGGTCTTCCTATATAAAGGGAAGCTTCCCACTTGCATTATTCAAACAACTCGCCTACCTAGCTCTCTAACTCTCTCTCTAGAAATCACACCACAAGAGAGCTAAAAACGCAGAGTTCAGAAGTTTTGTCACGTAACAAAAGATTTTCTTTTCTTTTGGAATGACGAAGATATACCCGAGTTTTGCCTCCGCCAATGCCGCCTCCGCCGCCGCGGAGAAGCTCAAGTCTTCGGGCGGCTCCGAATTAGGCGATTCCGCCGTCGTCTTAACGGTATGGACAAAGTCGCTGCTCTTCAACTGCAATGGCTTCACCGTCTACGACGGCAAGGGTAATTTGGTCTTTCGCGTCGATAATTACCTTGCCGGGAATAAAGGCGAGATCGTCCTTATGGACGCCTCCGGCAAGCCTCTCCTCACCATCCGCCGCAAGGTAATTATAATCTTTCCGCTATCAGCAGTTTTTAACCGTTAATTACGTCCGATAAAAATCACGTTAAAAGAATTAACAGTTTTGAAACTTATAATACGATACTAAATTTTTTAATTATAACTTAATCGTATTTGCATACTGTTTGATTATGACATGATTACTGACGAGATGTTCGATTACAGAGGTTGAGTCTGGGAGACAATTGGCTCGTTTTCGACGGGGAAACGGCGTCGAATCCCCGATTCAGCGTGAGGAAGCACGTGAACCTCCTCAACGCGCGGTGCCTCGCTCACGTGAGCTCCGGCGGCGGCAGCGGCAGTGGTGGATCGCTGCGATCGAGCAAGAACTCGTCGGTATTGTACGAGATAGAGGGGTCGTATTCGCAGCGGAGCTGCGCGGTGTACGACCAGAAGAGGCGGAGGGTGGTGGAGATCAGGCGGAAGGAGGCAGCGGTTTGCGGCGTGGCGTTGGGAGGCGACGTCTTCCGGCTGCTCGTCGAGCCGCAGTTCGACACGGCCGTGGCGATGGCACTCGTCATAATTCTTGACCAGATGTTCGGATCGTCCTCTAGACGTTAATTAGTATAAATTAATTACCACAGAAATTAATTAGTTTCGTATAGATATGAACACAAGACCATGATCAAAATCAACCAATGGTGGATATCCTCTACCGATTTGTGATCGATCTACTTTTTTGCCTTCATGATTGTACACCGCGTGGGGGCCGACATTGGGGAACTGGGGAGCACAAAAACGACACTAAGGGCTTGGTCTTTTCCCTTTGTTTTTTAATTATGAAAAGACCAAGCGCAGTGAGTGGAGTTGTATATACCAAAATATTGGAGAAATAAATAAGGTTTCTTCTCTATATTTTTGTATTAAGAACTAATCTAATGTCGTAGATTTTCCTTATACATAGTTATATATCTATTCCAGATTTTGGATGAATGAAATTTGTTGTCCCTACGTATTTTTTATTTCTTCCGACGAGCCTGAATTTTAGCATTCGTATATCAACAAGTTATTGATGCATAAAAAAAATGAATAGACCCTAAAAAAAAAAAAAATTTTGGAGGTCAGAAATGAAAGGTTAAGACCCAATTCATTTCACTAGTTCGAATTATAACTCAAATTTTTGTTAGATCACAAAAATTTAAATTCAATTTTTTTTTCTACAATTTTTCTTTCACATAAATTCACTTTTTAACTCAAATTTTTATATCAGATTTGGTAAAAGAATATGCGTTACACTTAAATGAAAGATTAATTTTTTTTTCCTTTGATCAATTTCCTTTTCTAACTTTCAAATGGTTAGATGAAGAAGAGATAGCACATTTTAGTGAAAAGACTTTGATCAACATTTCTATCGGCGTTTAGAGAGATCTTTTAATAATATTTAGAAGAGCATGCTATTTCCAGTCAAGATTTGGTTCTAGAAATTTTTAAAAAAGGACAGATGTCCTCACCGGATGGGATGATTATTCGTTGCATAAAATTGAGAGATGGTTAGAAAACAATAGAAAAGTCGTGTAATTCAATAGCTAGGCTGAATGGATTTTTTTTTTTTTTTTTTTTTTGTCCTTAAAATCGAGAGGAAAAATAAAAAGGAGAAAAGACTAATAGCGGTGTTTGGTAATGACGATATTTCAAAATCCTCCAAACACTAATTTTGTGCTTTACCCTCCTCACCTAATTTGATGATGTTTATCCTTCGTATGTTTGTTCTTGTTTTTTAGTCGGTGAAAGTATATAGTCCATTTATGGTCCTAAATGCTAATCCACATCATCTATGGAGAACATATTCTATTTCTTTATCAAGAGCAGACAAATATTGCTCTCAACATGAATTTAAACGAAAGGGGAAAAAAATCTTGCATCCTTTTTTTGTAGACACTAGATAATCATGATTAATTGTTGTGCAGAATTTATTTACTGGCGTTTTTTTGTAGAAAAATTTTCATGTTAGCAAAAAAAAAAAAAAAAGAGAGAGAGACTAAGACGTAAAAGGATAAAGTTGTCAATTGTCATAAGCCCTCTTAGGATGGATATATAACTTGGCTCCTCAATTAGTTAATTAGGTAAGCGACCAAATTGCTTATAATACATTACACGACTAGTTTACTCAGTTAGTTTTCATAATATAAATTATGTAATTACTGTTTTTCTTTACTTTAGGGGGAACCACGATACGTGTATTCTTGGTATATGTATGTATATATATATGTAATTATATAATGCATGATATAGCTTAAGGCGGCGGCCTCATATGTCATAACAATTAACGACGAACGAATCCAACTCATTGAGCTGGCCTTTCCCTCGAGATTATCTTCTACAAAATTAATTCTTTTCTTTAAAGAATGTTCTAGAATTTTAAATATGTGTTTAATGTTCCAAAAACTCAGGCGTTATGTGGGCCATTAAGCCAGTGCATCTTCCACGTGAATTTTTCTTCTTATTAATTTTCAAGAAATTAATTGTTCATTTTTATATAAAAGAAAAAAAAAACAGAAATTAATAGTTGAAGCTTTTTGTAATTAGGGTTGGATTCAGGTCACATGTTCACCGTTCAACCAATATTTGCTCTTTCGGCCTACGGGAAAAGTTGGCCCAGCAAGGTCGTTACGACATTGGGATGGGATAATTAAAACGGTCCACGCGCATGTGACTGGGTTTATCATCTTCAAACGTGACCCAAGATTAGGGCCCCTACTTTGCCTGGATTTTACGTGGTCCACTTTCCAACAATTATGTGCGAGATATCCTTCATAAAGACTCGATGAAGTTCAAAGTATCTTAAATGTAACAAATTTACTTGTGCGAATTTTGAGGTGGTATCAACTCAAATGAGAGTTGGAGTGTTCTTTTTTTTTTTTTTTTTTTTTTTTTTTTAGTTCACGGAACAGGATGAGCATGTGGCCATCCGCTTTCATTTCACCAATTCGAGTTTAAAATTTGAGTTTTACCACAATAAAAAACTCTCATAAGCAGTTACATTTAATTTTTTTACTATAGTAAAAAGTTCTCACATAAAGTCATATCTTAACTCGAATTAAAAACTTGAATCAATGAACTAAACGGATGTTCGAGTATGGTCTATAGTATGGTCATTAAAAGTGTTTAACTGGTTTTTGTTAATGAAATAACTTATTCAAATTGGGATTTTGACAATTACGTACGTTGTGGTACTTAAGTTGCATTTGGTATGAGGGTTCTAGAACCAGAACTATGATTTTGGTTCAAACCTTTGTTTGTTTGCAAAAAGTAAAAAATAGTTCTTGAAAACCAGTGTTTGGTTTGGATAGTTCTTGTTCAATGTTTGAATCCTGATGTGATATTTTAAATCAGAACCATCCCAAAAAATAAAACTACCTCCCCCTTTGATTTTGGGTGGTTCAAACCTCTTGTTCTGATTCTGGTTCCAAAACTATAGTTTGGACCCTAAGTTCAAATCATAAATCATAGTTTTGGTTCTAAAACTAAAACCATCCTGATTTGAACCCTCATACCAAACACAACCTTATATTAAGACAAGGTTCAAATCTAAAATACCTTAACATATTAATAAATACCCTTTTATTATGAAACAAAATTTTCTTATATTTATATTTGAACAAGTGGGGAATTTTGGAATTTGTTCAAACATAAATAAAAAAAGATATTGTTGTGACAATCAAGTGCCATATGTCACATATGAAAAAGTAACTCACATATGAAAAATGAAACAAGCTTGTTCATTTGCACCCAAAGTCAAAAAAAAAATTTGAACTCAAGTTACAATTTTATTCAAATTTATGTTTTTTGTAAAATTTGAGTTTTAACTTGAGTTTTGGGCTAAAATCTGAGTTCAAATTCCCCATTCAACTCAAGTTTCTAAACTCAAACTCAAATTAATGAATAATATTTTTTCTATTAAGTAAAAACGACATAACTTTTTCATTTTAATTCCGATTGAGATGATTTTTTCTATGAGTTTATAACGAAGAGACGAAGAAAATCTCACTCATATACTCTATTAAAATTTTCCATCACCATTGAGTTTTTATTAAAATACTATACAAATACAAATTCAAGTTTTGACCCACCCAAACACAAACTCAAATATATTCTCAATTCAAATCATAACTCCAAATGTGCACATCCAAACACAAACTCAAATTAGAGTCCGAACTTAAATCATACTTAAATACACATTAACTCAAATCACCGTAACTCAAAAAATCAAATGAACAAGCCAGTTTTTATAACTTTAAGTGGGTTATGAAATACCCATAAAATTGTAGAGGTGCACTTTTGGGTGCAAGGTTTGTGCACACGGGACATGGAGAAATACTGTTGAAAAGAATGCTTTAAACGAACAATAATTTAAATTTGAATTTAGAATTTGAAAAGTCAATATAACTAACTCATAAACTTTAATGAAGTAGTGGCTATTTTTTCTTGTTGGGTGTCAGGTTGTCAAACGTTCTATAAATTATAAATTATAGATATGGAGAAATCAAAAGGTAAAATAACTAACATAATTCTCATTTTTTCCTCACCCAAAAAAAGTAGGGCTTATTGTGAATTTTCATTATTGCTATGTGCAAATTCATTTTAAAGCTTGTCATATCTTAAAAACAATCTATTGATTAAATCCTATAAGCAATCACAACTAAGAGACGATAAATAATGCGTTATAAAAAGCGTAACTCATACATGTTTCAAGTCTTCATTTTCAAATTTTCAACAAGTATTACTAAATTCAATTGACTTCCAAATATGTTTTATGTAACAAAATGTTCTGAGACAGAACCCATACAAATCAAGTCATCAATATCTCAACTCTCCCTAATGAAAAAGTTTACAATTTAAAGTCCTTAAAAACATGTGGCACTAAAAAACAATTATGTTAAATAACAGAGTAAATATGAAATTCTTCTAAAAAAAATGCATTATCAATAGTTGACGATTTAGTTTGATCATAATTTCTCACTTACTTCAAATTTTAAGATCTAAAGTTAAGAAAAAATAATCATCTTAATTACCGCACACTCCAAAGAAACAAGAAACAATTTTATAAAACGATTCCCCTCAAGCCTCCACTTTTTCTATATGGGTTTGTGTCTTGATAACATTTTATCACGAGGAGGCAATATGTTGCTCATATAGTTGACTTCTAATGATGCTAAGAAGGCATTCATTTCTTTAATGTCAAACATAAAATTATGCGTTTGTTTTTGTTCTTAAGATTATCGTTTTACATATAATATGAATGGCATCTATATGCAAAAATACTAAATCTAGTAAGGAGTGAGGAAAACACCATTTCGCATGATCTTGCAAAGATGGAAAGAGACATGTATACTTTTTCTATTACGGTTTAGTTGACTATTAGAGTGGATATATTAATATATAAATGGAGTTGTCATATATTTGTATATGTACATGAGGTCGTAAACGAATAAATTTCATTTGCTTACGCTTATGTCACTACAACAATAAAGGCCATTTGCGATGATATTTTTTATGACGACAAATGTCGTCACAAATAATATAATATTTATGACGACATGTCGTCGTAATTACTCCCCATTAAATAAAATAATCATGTCGTCGCTAATAACTTAAATGTCGTCGCAAATAATTTTAGAGCTCAAATTTCAATGGCACGGATTTTTACCGCCAAGGTAATCCATTTTTGCGACGATAAGTCGTCGCAAATAATAAGATATTTACGGTGACAAATGGCGTTGCAAATAATTTCATGTTATTTGCGACGACATTTTCTCTTTGTCGTCGCAAATAATCCTTTTAAGATTTCACCAAAAACTAAACACGGGAAAAATGATTATTTACGACGACTCAAAAATTATTTGCGACGACATT